TAGTTTTAGAATTTGATTCGAATTATTCAAGTTTTATATAATCATCTTTCATATTGAAGTTTTGTTTAATTAGGCAGTTTGTGCATTGTTTTAATTTTACACATTATTTTGTTATGTTCTTTTTATTTAATAGAGCTATTGAAAAGAATTGTGAACCTTTTCACTAAGTATTGATGTTCAAGAAGTTCATTATTATATAAGTGTGTTAGTTTTAAAATTTTATTAATTATTAAATTCTTTTATATAATTTTTTAGAGATGAAAGGTTTCACAACTTCTCTATTAAACATATTAAAAAAAATCAAAATCTCATTCCCGATTTTCTCTCAAGGCTTGAAAAAATGACTCAAATTTAATTATTGCTACCTATAATTTCACCTTGATATTCATGGTAAAACCTTTACCAACCAACACCAAAATTACTAAGGATTTTTTCTAAACCTAATTCACCTGCTAAGATTTTATAGTAAGCTAAATCTCATTATTTTTACTTCGTACATGAAGTTATGAAATACAACCATACTACAACTACAATATTTGATCATGAAATTCCTTTCAGAGGGATCTTTGAATTATTTTGTTAACCAATATGGGATCTTTGTGAAGTAACACTCTGGTTTATCTGGTGTAATGTCGTTCATTATTTTATTTTAGTTGTTGTGAAGACCAAAATAACATATCAGATTCTCATATATTCCAACAAAGAAAATTATTTCTTCTAGACTTTATTAGCATGGTTTTCTCCTTTATCTTGGTGGAGAAAAAAGCTAAAAGAAGATCTTAGATCTTGAAGAAAGTAAAGGAATTCTAAATGAAAAAATTAATAATTTGACTTCAATCATTATACTTTATTGTTCTTACTTTTAAAACTCAATCAAACAATTATGGTCCAAAAATGAAGCCTATTTTTTTTTGGAAAAACTTTGAAGATTGTCCTATAGATTTTTTGTAAGCTTCAACTTGCTAGACATCTATGTGAAGTTAATAACTATCAATCTAGGCCACCAAATCTCAATCATGCAAGTTTGTTGCAAAAAGCAAATTATTTTTATGCCAGCAATAGGATGATTCCTTTAATTTCTTAACAAGAGACAAGATTCTTTAAGTCTACATTAGAAATATACATTCTAGATGAAGAAATCCAAAAATGTTGAAAACATGACAGATGATTACAATGCACAATTGATGGAAGAAATAATACATAAGACTAGATATCATTATTATCATCTAGTGTATAGGAACTTAACTCAGTCAAAAATAGGAAACTACACCTCTTAATTTTCAACCAAATCAGACTAAAGTATTAGTCATGACAGTTGTGTCTCTAAAGCATGCGATAATTAATCTTAATTATTGTATGTATCATAATATTCGTTAGGTTTAAAAGACGATCTCAAACCTCTTAGGCTTTAAATTTTAATGATAATAAACATATTTTATTAAGAGAATTTTTTTAGATAAAGCAAATAGAGTTAAGACAATCAATTAAGACGATAAGTTATTAGAGCATTATGTCTTATAAACAAAGTATTTCATCTATAAGATAAATATGTTGTATGTATATCATTTATGATGTCTGATAATATATAGAATCATCTTTAACTACATGGTTCCTTAACATATTAAAAGGAAAAACTTCTTCAGTACTCATAATTCACTAAAGGAACTAAAAACATGCTTTATATATAAAAAAAATGACTAGCATATCCTGTAAAACATGAAAAATTGCAGGAAAAGTTGCTTCAGATAGACATGGTTCCTCTATTTTGGTGCCTAAAAGATGAAAGTACCTTTTTTGATCACATAAGAAGTGACAATTTGGTGAAACACATTTAATGCACCAAAAAACACTTCTCTCTACATTGAACAAAGACAAAGGCAAACAAAAACAAGCATGTGAGAGACATCCAAGAATTTGCAACGATCATGAAGCACCTATATAGAGAAGGTTGAAGATTCAAAAAGAGAAAAGAAAAACATATAAATATACATTCATTGTAAAACATATTCATTCTTTCTATAGGCAACTTTTTACTTATTTAGTTGTATCACGTCTTGATTGTAAGACAAAATAACATTGTTAATCTATTTTAGCTTTAACTTTGTATAATTGCTTTGACCTTGGAAAAACTTGATTACAAAAAATACTTGGTTGTTAAAGTCGGGGAAGTTTTGTATTAAAAGAATACTTGGATATATAGTTACTTGAAGAGACAACTCAAAGAACACTTAGGTTGAAATAGAAGTGACTTGTGAAATAATACTTATATCTTTTTTTTTCCCATAATATTAGACACCAAGTAAAATTATTACATCTACTGATTCAAATGATAAGATGTCATTATTATGTGTAGATAAGGCTAGGTGAGATATCATTATCATAATAGACACCATACGTCTACTATTTTATATGATAAGGTGTCATTATTGTATGTACTATTATATATAAGGTTAGGTGATATATATCATTATCAAGACATATATGATAAGCTTTGTTGGTAGTGGATCTCCTCCTCTATAAATGAAGGATTATATTATAGCTTAAGACAGACTTGGTTGAATGAAATAAGCTTTTCCTCCAAAAGAAAAAGTTTCTTCTACTCTTATCATTCTCTCTAAAAACCTAAACACTACAAAAATTTTGTCATAGTGATACACACCCTATAATAACAATATACATGTCACTAAAAATTACTTTTACCTACATAATAACTATAATATATGTTAGTATATTATTTAAAAGTGTGGGTATAGGCTATAGTGACATACAAAACATGTTGTTAAATCTCATTCAAAATTTACACTAAAATTGTGTGTAACTATATGTCAAATAGACATATATCTACATATATTGTACATATAGTGACACTTTTTGTATATCATTATATGTAACATTTCTTGTAGTGAAAGTTTATTGTTCATATCATTAGCCCCTACAAAGATGCAATTATGTTTTCCTATTATAAGTATCTTGTGTACTAGAAAGCTTCTTATCCATTATCCAGTTTAACGATCCTCTTGTCTTGTGAAAAACATGTATATGATACCCGTAGTAAAACATAATAGTGACATAGACAACTCAAATTCGTCTTTAAATGTTATTAAGTATGATATTTATCATAAGATTGAGACTCTTGACAAATTATATAAACATTTAATTTGTTAACACAAACTAAAATTAACATATAAATGAAAACTCTTTATTTTTTGAAATCAAAAGCTATAAATATAACGTATTTATCCAAATATAAATGATCGAAATTAAAAGTTAGTTAATAATCATGTACATTTTTTTTCTTTTAACTTTAACTGTCCAAATAATATCTAATGATGATTTTTAATAGTTATTATTTTTTAACAAGAATAAATTTCCTTTAATATAATTTACACTTATATGCATAATTGAATTTTGAATTATAAATATGCATAAATATTTTTTCACATAAATAAGATTTAAATTCATTAATATGCATAATTAAAACAATTATAATCATGGCATAAAAGATTAAATAATTAGTTTGATTACTTTTCTATCAAGGTTTACTTTTTTTTATGCAATGATTAAAATTGATAAAAAAAATCATATGATTAAAAATTAACCTAAAAATGAATAAATAATTATTTAATTAAATTTTATATAAAGACAAACATATTGACTAAATTAACTCAAAATAATAAAGAAAAAAAGTTACGAATCTTTTAAATATATTATTATACAAACATTTTTTATATATATTTATTATTAAATTTTTAATGTAATTTAAAATTTTAAATATATGAAAAAAAATAATTAATATCATTTATTTAATTTTATATTTTTTTTAAAAATAATGATTATAAAATATAAACTAAAATAATATTTATTATTAATATATTTTATTAAAATTATACACACATATCTACAAATGCATATGTACAAATATTCAAGAATCTCACATGAATCTTTAATTAAGAAGTGCAGATAGTAGGGGTGAGCAACGGGTGGGTTTGGTCGGGTTCGAGTGAAAAATGTCCAACCCATTGTAAATCGACTTTGAAAAAATGTGACTCATATCCGACCGACTGAGCTTTCGATTTGAGGCGGTTCGGGTTGAAACGGATTCGGATTTAAGAGGGTGGGTATAATCGGATTTGAATTTTTTTGTAAACCAATTTATCTTAAGGAAGATGAAGCTTAAAACGATAAAAAATATTTTTAAAATAGTGTATAAAAATATAATGAAGGTGACAATAGATGGTGTAAGTAGATTCGTAGTTGAAACATTTACAAACTAAAGAAGCAAAAATAAAAGATAACAAAATTCATAGTTGTTACATGGAAAAGAAATATAAAGTTAGATTACAAAATCATAAGAAATCACAGTCACACAAAATGTACTCAAAATGGAGATAAGAAGATGGAAAAGAAAGACAAAGAAAGAAGCAAAAAGATAACTCTAAAAATGGACTAGTGTGTTGAGAAGTTGAATGAGGAAGGAGAAGACAAAATAAATATCTAAGTTATGAGAAAAAGGAAAAAAATAAGTTACAAATTGATGGCTATATTATACTTGAAATAAAGACTTTTAAGTTTGGACCATTGTTATTTAGTTATACAAAAGTAATAAAAATTTAAACTTATCTCATTTTCGGTTGGGTTCGATTTTTGGCGGGTTTAAAAATTCAAAACCGAACCCGCCCAATATAACCCGTATAAAATCAAAATTTTAACCCGATTTACCCATAAGACCCGCCCGAACCCACCCAAAAACAATATTTTTTATCGGGTTTTTCGGGTTCGGTTCGGGTGTCGGTTTAATGCTCACCCCTAGCAGATAGAATGATTTATGTCGGTAACTTTTGGTACAAATATTAATATATTATAAGGATAATATTATTTTTTTAAAAAATATTATATAAATAAATAAAATAATATAAGTTATTTTAATATATTTTTATTCATTATTATTTTATAATATAATATTTACGAGTACAAAAGTTCTCTCCACAGACCTCAAAACGGTTCCTGTTCTGGTTCAAGAATCATAACCAGCGAAGTGCTATCTGGTTGATGGAAGACCAAGTTAGTAGCAAACACACCACCAATGCTGCTGCTTACGTGGACACCTCTAAGGCGGAGAGAGCAGTGTGGCTGATGAAGTGTCCTCCCCTCGTCTCTCGCTCCCTCCGCGCCCCTCCCTCTCGCCCCGTCGCCAAGGTCGTTGTTTCCATCGACCCCCTCAACTCCAACGACGATGATTCTCCTCCTCAGGTTTTCCTTTCATCCTTCGCTTTTCAACAATAATAGCTTAATAGCCACACCAACATTCGCTGCAATTTCTTTTAAATTCTCTCTTTGGATAAACCTATTGGAGTTTAATCTCATTGATTTGCTTATTCGAGATTTGTATTAGATATCGATATAGGTTGTCTTCACAAAACTCAATTTCTGATTGTGAGCAACATCTAGAGAAACTGTGGAAATGTGCTTTGTATTTTTTATATTGTGTATCGTATGAAAATAGTTACCTTGATTGTAACTATTAATGACACTTTCCTGTGATTTTTGTCGTTTTAAATTGATTGTTTAGTTAAAATACCCAGTTTACAATGGAGTTGGCTGGAACTGAAGCTGGACATATACCCAAATGCTATGTTATGGATATGTCTAAAGACTTCATTCCGATGTCTGTGTTTTCAGACACACCACAAGGTAAATTATATTCTTCTTTCAGTGACCATGTGTATTGAAAGGTTTTGGTGTATAATTTAAGCTCATAGTTATTTATATGTTTGTTTGACATGAAGTAGCTGGGATTATTTTATCACTCTGAGCTGTATTCCTTTTTTATCACCTTGTAGTTTTATGTCATTATGTTTTTATGATTTTATCGTATTTTGTTGTCATTAAATGATTGCCTCTTTGATGAAACAGCTTAGTGAAATGTAGGTGATCCTTCGTAAAGGTGTTCATTCATTTTAACAATGTAGGTTGAAATATGTGAACCTCATGTACATCAGCTATTAATTATAATTTTTCAATAATCAGAAGAATCATAGAGCTGTTTGTTTTCATTTTCTGTGATGTATGTTATAAGGTCCTCAACTGTCTTGACTAAATGAAACAGTAGCTTGCTCAGTTGTTTTACCCTTACTCTGTAGAAAATCTGGGGCATCATTTATTTATGATAAAAAAGTTTTATTATGTTATGCTCCTTGAACTGTGACAGGAATTGGAGTTCACTATAGGAATTATTGGAAAATTTAGACAATGAAGCCTTGAATACAGTAGGAAAATGCAGGGAAAAAAAAAGTAGAAATAGAAAAGAAATTATCAGAGAATGATGTCTTCTCTGCTGGTGGCAACAGCCTCAAATGCCTACCTCTACTCTCTGTTCTCTTCAAGCTCATCCTCCCCCCAACGGATTTCTCCTTCCCATCCATTTTCCTCTACCATATAAGCAGATTGTTATGTTGCAGATCATCTTGAATATTTCTCATCCTGCCTAACTTTTTGTGTCCATGGCCCAAACTGCTTCCTTTTCTACCCTTCTCCCATATATCAGAGCTATCCTAGATTTTCTAAATAAAAAGGCAGAACTAGGAGACAAGACAAATTCACTTCAGAACTTGAAGAAATCCTATAAGGCACAGGCCAATAAGATACAGAAAGCTATTTTGAAAGTTATGAAGCTGAATAAATTACTGCTTCAAAAAGCAGATGAGATCAGTGATGCTGAGTAGATAAATGAAGATATCAACAGGAGTTTAAATGATAAAGAGTCCATCATCAAACATCTCAGTGCTGCAAATGATGAACTTGGTGCAGTTGGTGATAAGAAGTTTAGAAAGTGGGAAGATGAAAAAAGAGGGTTTGTATTGGCATTACAGGGGGCAAATGAGAAAGTGGAGAAACAGATGACATGTTCCAGAAGTTAGAGGAGGAAAACATGGAGGTGGAAGAAAGAACTGTTTAAACTTCTGGAAGAGGGGCATAAAAAACTTATAGACCAGTTTAAGGCAAGTAAGGAGGAGTGGGAGTAGAAAAAGTCTTCATTGCTTGATGAGATTTCCTCACTGCAGTCCTTGTTAGACTATTATATAAGAAAATCGCACAATCTGCAACACCAGTTACAGATATGCAACCAAGCCCTTGCTAATGAAGAAAGCCAGAGAAAGCGTCTGGAAGATGAAATCTCAAATTTGAATAAAGAGAGAAGAAAAGTGTTTTCAACTGATGAAGCAGTTGGAGTTGAAAGATGCTGTTTTGATCATTGCCCAGAAAGATAACAATGAAGAGGGTGAAAAGGCAGCATCTTTGATGAGGCAGGTTGAGTCCATAATTGCCGATGAACTGCAGCATTTCCCACACAATGAACATGATAGGCCCAAGGAAATGCCAGAAGAATCAACTAAATGTCAACTCCTCATAGAGAAGGATTTGCATATGGAAATTGTTTTAAAAGAACAACTAAAGGAAGTTTATGTTATGATGCTTTAGACAGGGCAAACATTGAATTGGATGAGAGAATGTGAAAAAAGCGAAATGGAGTTTGAATTGGAAATATGGAAGTCATTTGTTGAACGTTTGAGGAGTGATCTTGAAGAAAATCTTGCCATGCATAAAAAATTGGAAAATTCACTCCTTGCACAAGTAGATTTTAGTGAAAGCCTCAAGCAAGAGAAAGATAGCTTGGCATAATAGCTGGAATATAAAGAGACTATATTACATTGTCTGCAGTAACATGTTTTCCTATATGAACAAGAACCAAAAACTAAAGGAAACAGAAGCCTTAATTCCAGCAAGTGGGGAAACAGCTGAGTCCTCTAAAATTGATGAAATGAGATATCTCCAGATAATTGAGAAGGAAAATATTTCAGAAGAGTTTCAGAGAGAGGTTTGTTTTTAGGCTTGAACAAGAATCATTTAGAAGAGAATTTGAAAGTGCTATGATTGCAAAAAGCAATATGGAAAGAACCAATGATCTTGAGAAAGAGAATTCTATCCAGATTATAAAGGGAAAGAATGTGAGAACAGATGAACTTGTGCAGCATGTGACTTCAATTGAACAGAAGTTCACTAGCTTCTTGACCTTCATTTCTTCACAGCTTGCTGAGAAACAGGCTGAAATTATTCATGTCAAAGAAGCTTGTGATAAGATCACGGCAGCTGAGATTCTAGCTGCACTTAAAATACAAGAGAAAAAGTTGATGATAGTGGCAATTGAGGATGATATACATGATATGGAGAAGAAATTAAAATTTCAGGAGGTAAATTGGAGGCAAACAGAGAAGCTTGCATTGGATATTGAAGAGGAAATGGATGCAGAAAAAAATAAAAGTAAAGGAGTTGATTGATCAGATGGAGAACAAGTTAAGAAGCTCAGATTAATGGATAGGTTGAAAAGCTTAGTGCAGTTTTGAGAATGACTGTCTAAAAAGGGATTTTAATAGGGATGATGAATTGCTTGTAGTATGATAATGCATTCTCCCACGGGGATAAAGAAATTTTAAACCTTTTCTGATTTAAGGTCTCCATATAAGGAGCTCAACAGTTTGTTGCGATAGGGAAAGTATTTGATAGAGGAATGAGATGTGCATCTCTTAGATTTTTAGCAAAAATGTCATGCAGCTTGAAACATGAAAATTTCTAGACTGTATATGAATTCATTTGTTTTACCTTGTGTAATTTTTTTTTATTTTAAAAATTTATCCACCGTTTATTCATGTACCAAGTCCAATAATATTGGACGAAGGAGTTATATTGGAAAAAAAAACCAAAGTCCTACTTTTTTTAAATCATTAAAAAGGATGCACCAAACCCAATAATGCCAAGTATTAGAAGGTGTATTAAGAAAAACTCAAGTCCTATATTGAATACAAATAAGACAAATAAAGAGCATATAAGTGAGGTACAACTCTCACTTTACAAGCTAGTTTTATAGGATTGAGTTAAGTCTAAATCCACATTCTAAAAGCAAGAGTCCGTCAGTTAGAGAAACTCCTTAAGTTAGCTTTTCCAAAAGATTATTTTTTTATTATGATTTCTTCATAAATTATGAGCTACTTAATTTTTTTAAGGATTTTTATACAAATGTGTTTGATCCAATTTTTGTTTATAAGTAAAAATTAAGCTGCAAATAAGTTAGGCCAAACACAATCTTATATTTGTTCAAGACAGGCAGATTTTTTGTGTCTTTTCAATCTGTGATGCAGAGGATAACTTTTTTTAATATTTGCAATTCATTTTAGTTATTTTCCTAACAATATAGTTTATGTTATGTGCCAAAGCAAAATAATGATAGATACTAGAATTTTACAGTCAAGAAATATTTTCTTCAATTTAGATATTCCGTCTTGGTGACTTCTAGTTTTCAATATAGCATTGTAAACTGCAATGATCATTTGCAGCAAAATAGAAAAATTAAATCAAAATTTACCAGACTTACATCCAAGGTTTTGGATTTATTAGCAATGCTCCTTTTCTCATAAAAGATCTCACTTAACTATCGTAATTCTTAAGCCATAAGCTATTTTTTCTGTACTAATGTTGGATTTGCACTGTAAACTCCTTTAAAGTGTTTCCTTGTAAATCCTTTTCAGTTCCTTATTCATCTTCAATAAGTAATCACTGTCTTCTTGTCAAGCTCCTCTTTTGAAATCTAAGACTCGCTCTACTGAGAAATCTTTCACATGGACAGAAGCACTTCATAAGAGTAATAGTTTTGTGGCTGATATATAGACAACATGTTGTGCTTTCTCCTAATGTTTTTGAATTGTGTTTCTCTGGTGTTGTTATTAGCAGCTAGCAACTATTTAAAATGTCTAGAGGCTAGATATTAGACAGAAATTCTCTCTGAAGAAATCCTTATCTTCTCTGTGATGCCTAGAAAATGATTATTTCACGGGGGTTTTCTTTGTTGAATGTGCAGAGAAACTGGTGAGTTTATTTAATTAATATGTTCTCCTTGACCCTTGTATATTCTGATACAATTTCTTGGTCTACAAATAAGCTTATATGGTAGCATATAAGCTTCAATACAAGCAAATATATAAATAATAACAGCCACACGGCCAAAAGAAGTGACTGACTGCACAGTTCAACAGCAGAGCCTCTCAAAAAACCAGTTTTGTTCCTTCAATTTCTTTTCCTTTAACAATTTAAGCTTATATGACTTTCCAATTTTTCATGAGAATTGGTAAAATTAAGATAAAAAGAAATAAAAATAATGAATTGTTGAATTGTATAATTCGTGTTGATGTATGAAATTTAGATTCATTCATGTATCATAAGATACAAAATCATTTTAGATTCATCTTAATCTTAAGATGTGTATCGGTAGCTTGTCAAATTGTATTGAATGGGAAGATTCGAATCGTGAATCTTAAGATTCTGATAATTATGTTGTAGACTCCTTTGAAATTTCTTCTTTTCCCAAGGATATTTTAATTTTGGCCAGTATTTGGTTTGATACTCAGAGCATCATAAATCTCCTCTATTAAAGCTAATTTAGCAAAATGTAAATCCAGCTGTTGAAATTTCTGTTGTATTGTAGGAAAGATCTCTGTGGAGGGAAAAATACTAAACAAGTTTGACATGAGGCCCCATAATCAAAACCTTGAACTCTATGCAAAGCTCTGCCGTGAAAGGACAAACAAGTATATGGTCAAAAGTAGACAGATACAGGTTTTCATATGGCTCTATTCTCATAATGCTGATCCATAGATTCAGGCTCATTACCTTTGACATCTCAATTCTATTTTCAGGTTATTGACAACGATACTGGGGCACATATGAGGCCAATGCCTGGGATGATCAGTTTTTCGACTTCTGGACCCAGTGTAAATGGCTTATTCTCCTTCCTGTTACCAATTATAGTCCTCAGTGATTGCATGCTAAGAAAAAAAAAAACCTTTTTATATCATTTCATCTCCTCATATTTTATTACTTGTTGATGAAGTCATCCCTCCCCCTTTCCTTCCTTTTGGGTTCATCATGAGGTAAAAATGACTTGGTCAATGTTCCGTAGCTTTCAAACAGGGTGTAGCTGGAATTATGAGCTTGTTTGGATTCAAGTTTAAAAGTACTTTTAAGAGCTTATATACTCAAAATAAAGAGTATTTTATTAGAAGAGAAACTCTTAGAAGTACTTCTAACTTGCATCTATATAGGCTCTATATCTACATTCTTATTATGCGGTTCAATAATTTTTATTAATTTATACTAAAGCTGTAACAAAAGTTTGTGTTGGATTAGCAGGAAAAGAAGAAAACTCCTGCCAAAGCAACAGATACAAAGAGAACAAGAAGAGACCGTGGAGAGATGGAAGAGATTGTGTTTAAGCTATTTGAACGGCAGCCAAATTGGAGTTTAAGAAATCTCATACAAGAAACGGACCAACCTGAAGTATGTGCCTACGTGGTTTGAGTAGTTTCACTCTTATAATATAAATTATGGGATATCACTTGATATTTATTAACACAAATACACTTACACAACATTAAATCTCTATACACAAAATGAATTACAACCATAAAACTTTGTTGCGTCTAGTTGATGCATATATGGTGAATGCTCAGACCTGTCTGATATAATATAGATTCAGAAGTTAACATAAATTGTATACATCATTCTCAGAGAATTCTTGAGATTTATAATTGTATATCTGTGTCATTTATGTTTCTGATGAAAATAACGATTGATATATAAAATGTACATACATAGATTCTTGCTCGAAATATTAGTTATTATGGGTTGGTTTGGATAAATTTCTTTAAAAGCATTTCTAAGAGAGAAAAATAATATGAAAAAAATAAAACAAGTATTTTCATAAGCTAAAATTAACTTATGTAAAAATCGATCTGAGAAGTTTTCTCCAATTAGATTCTCCAAAATCTTATTTTTTAAGTTATGCATAAACTAGTTTTAATTTATGGAAAAATTTATTTATTTATTTTTTCTATTTTTGTCTCCTAAAAATGCTTTCGAAGAAATTTATTCAAATAGACCCTATATAATTTTACTGTTTACTAGTAGGTCTCTCTACAAGCACACCACATGATTGTGAAACAATGTCAATATATACATTCAAACTGACATTTATTTCCGTTTGAGGGCATTACTTTTAGACTTTTAGTATTGACTGTTTTAACTAATTTGTTGAGCCTAACGCATTTTTACAGCAATTGTTGAAAGATATACTACATGTACATACATAGAATCCTGCTTGAAATATTAGTTACTATATGATATAATTGTACTGTTAACTAGGTAAGTCTCTCTACAAGCATATCACATGATTATGAAACAATGTGAATATGTACATTCAAATTGACATTTATTTCTGTTTCAAGTTATTACTTTTAGTAGTGCCCGTTTTAACTAATTTGTTGAGCCTAACGGATTTTTACAGCAATTTCTGAAAGATATACTAAAAGATCTTTGTGTCTACAACAACAAAGGAACTAATCAAGGCACATATGAACTGAAGCCTGAATACAGAAAATCTGGCGACTAAGCAACCTCCAAATAGGTTTTATTTGTTCTGATCCATTTGTCAACATTCTTCAAATGATATATAGCTTACTCTTTTCAGTTTTTTCATTTAAGTTCAAGTTGCAAAATGCATCCTGTTAGAGCCTTGTCAGTTCCTTCTGCACATTGTTTTGAAGGTTTTGCTACATCATTATTTACTTATTTTGTTCCTAAGTTAAAAAGAAGAACTAGAGCCATTTTGGAAAACTTTACACTGTCAACATGCCTAATTATTTTTTAAAGGCTTAAATGTGTTTTTGTATCTGAAATATAGTAGTTGTACAATTTTAGTCCCTTAGATTTTAATTGAACAATTTTAATCCCTCAAGTATTGTAATTTTGTAATTTTGATTCCTTAATTTTTAATTAAGCAATTTTAGTCCCTCAAGTATCAAAGTTGTATGATTTTAGTCTCTTAAGGTTTGCAATTATACAAACTAGTAGGAAAAAGAAACACTTTATACCTCTTAAGTTTTAAAAAATACAAATCTATACTAATAATAAAAGGGATATCATTTTTTTGGTGTTCACAATTTAATTTTCAATTTTATCCTTCAGTTAACTATCTTAAAAAAAACTATACATTACTAAAAAAAATTACTATTCTTGTGAAGGCACAAAGTGCCTTTTATCATACTAATAAAATATAGATATTGAATGAGTATTTATTGGTGGTTACTTAGAAAATATGAGCAGTTATTTCATTAATTGGTGAAAATAAATAATATCATGAAAGTTATATAATATATAATTTAAATAAAAAAAATTATAATTATGATACTTGAGAGACTAAAATTGCTTATTAAAATTTGGAGGAACAAACTTAGGGATCAAAATTGTATGGTTGTAATCCAATAGCGATAAAAGTGCAACTAAGTGCATGTTTGAATTGGATTTTCAAACTTGATTTTACACTCTCTCTCCACGTTAAAGATAAATTTTACGTGGAAGCAAAAATTTTTTGCTAACTAAACGTGAAAATTCACGTTTGCATTGAAATCTAAACATGCACTAAATCTTTTTAAAATCATTTTTGTTTAGTGCATTGAAAATTTGAAACAAGTTCTATTTATTGGGTTGGAAATTGGACTTGATTGGCTACCAAATAAGAAACGCTTGAAAATATTAAGAAATGGTCTTGTCATGTGATGTTTTCAAAGTTGGATGATGTTGTCTAGAAAATGTAAATAATCAATGTCCCTTATTTTGCAATTTTACATTTTGTAAAAATGCTATGGAAAAGAGTTACATGGTTAAAAACTACGTACATCTCAAGTATTTTGACACATATTATATGCTTTTTAATTCATTCATTTACTATCTTAAAAGATTGATCAAAATTGTTTAATTCCGTATCTCCAATTTCAATACACTGCACAAAATGAATTACAAAACGTGTTGCACCTTTTTGGTAAATAGATTTCTTGGGCTCTTTTTTATTTGAATCATAAATGTGCTTTGGAAGCTAACTTTTGCGCACTGAATTTGTCCCAACTTCTATCTTTTTAACAGTTTAATGTGAATCTTTTAGATTTTTGTTGAATATAGGACTTGACGTTTTAGAAAGTAAACTTAAAAACCTTTCAAAACGACATAAAGCCTTGTATCAAACAAAATCATTTGCTTATTCAATTTGGTAATATGTTCTAACCTTGAAACTAAATTATGCAACATGTGATTTTTTTATGTTACTTTATATTTTAGGGATAAAATTTAATCATTTTATTGTAATTTGATTTAGAAAAATGTAATTATCACACGTTAACATTGGCATATTTTCCTGAATTTGATCTAATTATTTTAAAAAAGGAACATTATATTATTTCATCAAGGGCTAATTTCATAAATAATTTTTTTGCTTAAATATATTTTAGGTCTTTGCATATATGGCTTCATCTTATTTTAGTCTGTGTAATTAATGTTGACATAGTTCAATGATGTGTCACATTGACAATGATGTAGTGACTTACATGGAGTGATGAAATAGCACTTTAGTGATGATGTAGATTACTAATATGATATTTGCTAATTTGAAAAATTAAATATAATTTTTAAAAAATGATAATGAGTGATTTTACAATATTTAAAATTCATGGCCTTTATTATAATTTTTACCATTTTAATTAGTAACCTAATATCTTCTTTTGTTATAGAACACTATTATTTTTACCATTTAAACTACTAAATTAATATTTTATTTTTTATAATGTGACTACTATATTATATATAAGATTATTGCTTGAGCTAATTTTTTAAATTTTTTATCCAATGTTAATCTAGTTTAAAATTAATAAATTTGTTTTATAAAATAATAATTTTTAGTAAATTAGTTTATTTGATAAAATAAATATATTGAATATAAAAATTATATTTATTAGATTAAAAGCATAATAAAAACAGAAAATAACTAATATAATATCAACATATATATATATATATA